CAGCCATCCGAGTGCCAAGTGTGAAATCGGCCTGATGTCATCCCCATTCTTCATCTTTTACATCTTTCACCAGTTTAATTATATTTCCGCCACAAAGCTCTGGAGCTTCATTGCATATTCAAGTTTGACTAGGAAGCATTTAAAAAAATGTACGGATGAACTAACTCTGTGGGGGAAGGGACAGGATGCTTAAACCTTTACTGAAAAGGGGCAGCAAGCTCCAAACCTTGACTTAGCAATAATAAATAAATAAATAAATTCTTACCTGGTGTTTTTTTTAGTGCATGTAGTGCATTGTGTAAATTGATCATTGTTAAATTATTGCCATTGTGGTACAAACTGTAGCATGGAACTACAGATTATTTACCTTGATGAACTTTGACATTTAAGTTTCGTACCTTACACTTTCTGCATTCTGAAACTGTGCTGCTGCCTCTCCACATGGTCCTTTCGTATCACTTGGCTTCTTGTAAAGGCACCATTGCACTAGATGGAAGCAAGCTGATACTGTGCCCCTCTGGTAATACTTTTGTGTTTCAGAGGCAAATGGGTTCTGGGCCAGGGGAGGGAGAATATTAAGAAAATGGAGGTCCTCTGTGCATATTGGCTATGTGATATTTACTGAAACACTTATTCCTCTTCACTCCCATTGCCTCCATTCTACGTCATTACAGAATTTTCTCAAGAGTCGGTCATTATTTTGATTCTATTTCTTCTGCATTGTTCAGAGTAGATTGCATCTGTTATGTGAATCCCCTCAAACTTAAGTGGGGAAGTGGACACCTCTACCCTAAAGGTGTGAGATGACTTTGTGGAAGAGGAAGGGGACAAAGGGAGAGGAAATGAGCCCACCTGCAGCTGTGACATAGGCTTTGACCTTCACCCCAGTCTTCTGGCCACAGACTCTATTCATAGTAAGTTAGAGTGTCTGTGAGACACAAGCACATTCTCTCTCTCTAGCTCATCAAGTCAGTGACCGTTGGGCGTTACTTCCACATACAAGCCAGGCAGAATAGAAATGCAGATCAGCTTCTTTAGCATTTGAGAGCAGGTCAATGCTGGGAAATGCTCTTCTCAGACAGCCTCTTTTGTCTGTGATTTTCCAGTGTTTTCCACTTTCTGGATATGAGCAGAGACAGGTAATGTGACAATGGATGAGATAAATGTATGTTCCCATTTGCTATTTAAGAGAGATGGGAGTTGGGAGAAAGAAAGCCTGATGTGAGTTTGAGATACTTCAAATTAATGAGTATTTTATTTGGAGTCATTACTCCCCATTTAGAATGTGACGTTACAATGCATTGCTTTTTAAATTGAATTGATATAATTATAAAATTATCTCCACATAATTAACTCAAGGATTACATTTGATTCTATTTAGCATGTAATCAAAGCCTATTATGTTTTAGCTATAGGAACACCAATTACATTTAAAAGGGTTACTTAGACCCAGCTCCATTGGGGGGTGGGAAGTAGAATAGCTTCTCTTGGTGTTATTACAGTTATATTCACAAGCAGATGAAAGATAGACAGAAATATGAAATGGTATAGGCTCCTCTGTATGCACACACACATGCATGCATGCATTCTCTTGCTTTCTTTTGTATTTATTTAGCTTCAGGATCGCTGGAGGGGAGAAAAATTAGGAAGTTTACTACTTACTTCAAGTTTTGGGTTAAAACAGTGCATCAGATGAGTCCTGATACTGGCAGTTACAAATGAGAAAGCAGAGAAGGAGATCCTTCACTCATTTCTGCACTGGAATTTAAAAGAAGTGGACTGTGATCCACAAAAACTTATAATAAATTTGTAAAGTCTTTAGTAAATCTAGTATTTGGTCTTTAAATATTCTTGGCTGCTTTACCTTTCCGGTGTACAAGAAACAGCAGCAGAGAACAGGTCAGAGCTGAAATTATGCATTTTATAATTTTGGCTTCTTGCTCTTGATAATCTCTTACAACGCTCAACATCCCAACTGCCCTCCCCCCCCAAAAAACCACTGTAACTATTTATAAAGGTATAATGAATTGGAGGCAGTTGCTTTTGACTGAAACACCTCTGTAGAAGATACCATATCGTGTAGATACATGAGACAAAAAGGAACTGGGCAGTCCTGAGGCTTTTAAAAAGAGACCACAACTGATGGACTTCGGCAAAACTTCAAATTTTTCCTTCTTAAGAAGGTCTGTTGGGAGATTCCGTGGAGGAAATGAACGGGTATCTTTCCCAGATTAAGGTATCCCAATTCTACGAAATCAAAGAGTTCGACAAAAGATTGGCATCTAGTTGGAAGAAGTGGAGAGGAAGAAAATAATCGGGATTGTTCAGGAGAAGTAAAGCAACATGAGACAGCAAGTAGATGCCGCCGTCGCTGGCGATGTTGCCGCTAAACCACGGTGTCGCTTGCCAGGGAAATCAAGACGCCGCCGAGAAAGCTCTCTGCAGCCTGGCAGTTGGATCTAGAGATTCAGAGGAGGAAAGATGTCCTGGGAAAGATGGTAGCATTTACATCGCAACCGCAGCGTCTCTCAAAACCTGAAGGAAGGGCCTAATGAAACAGCTTGTTTTCCACACAGAATAAAATCCAGAAAGGTTTTTCTAAATAAAGTATTGTAGGCGGACCCGATGCTGTAGAAGGACTTGTGTTGGCGCTTGGAGCAATGACAGTTCTGCATCCGACCAGCTGGTCTGTTGCTGAGCCTCGCTTCTCTTCCTTTCCCTAAATATTTATTAACTGGACAAATGCATGGTGTATTTCCAATAGACCCAGTAGTGTCGTAGGCATAGGCAAATAATATCACGCGTGGTTCTAGGTACTCTTGTGTGTGCCTGGAAAGTCCGTGCTTTACAGAAGTTATAGCATTAAACTATATCAAAAATACAAAAGCTACAAATTCAACAGTGAGAAGGAAGGTGGGAGTGGAAGTCCATATTAGGAAGAAAGAGCATTATTTTTATGTTAGTCTTCTTAAACTGTAATCATTCTGTCTTGGCTGAAATAAATCAATGAGCTGGTGTTGATTTTACTATTAAAAACACTAAAACGAGCCTAAACTGGCATATCAACGAAAAATGCATTACGATGCTTTAAACAGGAGCAGCAAATGGGGCCCACGCGATCTACCAGATTGTAAATCACAAGCCACTTACACTGGAGTAGCCCTTTTGGTTAAATGGGAAATTTTACGCAAATTGGTTGCATTCTTCCTCAGTTTGTTCCAAAGCAAGTTGTATCTTGGTCTGCAACTCAAAAAAAGACCAAATGGGAAGAAGTGGGAGAGAAGAAACTGTGTCAACTCTAAGAGGCCGGGATCTTAGGGTCAACCAAGCTGGATCGTGCAAGTTTCTTCTTGCTCCCTCCAACTAGGTCACTCTGGCTCCCACATGGTTGTACAGAAACATAGCTGTACCGCCGCCCAAACACTTCCCCGTAGTTCGAAATTTACCCTAAACCTAAGGCAGGCTATTGCTTAGAAAATCACACCCAGAGTCTACACTAGTTAGCCCAGTGCTGGTGGGTGAGCCCTGGGGACTTCCCAGCACCTTCTCACACCACAAAAGAGCTCCTGGGATGTTCCAGGAGTCTGAAATCCTGGCCACAGTTGAGGTGTTTAAACCAGTAAGTCAAAGGGAATGCCCCGCTTGGAGCCAGGAACTGGGGCTTTCAGATCCTTTTCCAGCCTTCAAGAAACGACTTGGTCTTATCAATGCCTGGATTTTCCTAGGCTGTTATCCGTATGAAAGTGCTAGAGAAATCTTAGAAAACATGCATTACTTCTTATCCCAGATGTCATAAAATTATTTTGCTTGGTTATTTTGTTGAAATCAGTCTGAATGTTTACCAAATTAAGCTGTGCCATCTTTACATTATCTCCCTACTTAGCATTTCATAGTTAGAGATGCTGGTCTAGAAATCATGATGTCCCAGGGGCACTTTGTATGGCTGCATGGGCGGGGATTGAATAGACAGGTCGGATATTAAATCAGCGGGATGCAGAATGACTTTTTGCCACAACCCCAAGCTTGCTAAAGAGTTTCGCCCTCTGAGGGGGCGACTCACTGACCACTTGCACAGAAGTAGTCTTATTACCCTTCATAGGACTGCGCTAGTGTAAATAAACAACGAATCCATCTCTTTTACCTTATACCTATGGCACAATAGGGCAAGCACATTTGCATATATAGTGCCTGGAATATTGCCTGTGTGGGGCATTATAGAATGCAGTATTACTATGGAGCGGTTCCTGGAGCAGATCGTAGTGTCGAAAAAGAAATTGCTTATAAAACAAGCTACCTGCCTGAAGTTAAGATCCATATAAAACTTAATTGCATATTATTATGCTTTTAATTTTCAAAAAACACTTTTGTCAAATGATACGTGATATCACTTTCTTATAGGGCTTGCTGTTTGATATGATTAATTTATTTCCATGAGAAATACCATTATTTGTGAGTGTTCTGTTAAAATCCTGGAATGATAAAAACTTTTTCTTAAGCAATTAAACGTTGTTAAGAAAGTAAATTCTGTTGTAATCAATGGAACTTACTACCAAGTAAATTGGTTTGAGAGTAGATTACAGGTGTAGATTGGTCGCATTCGTCTCAGAAACCTTCTAAGTTACGGAATTTAAGATCCGGATGGTTGTGTGCCTGCAGATACTTTTAAATGTATGCATGGCTTCATTTCTACATCCTGCACCCTCAAGTTAAACTGCAACCCAATTGAAACTAAGTAGTAGGATTTAAGCTGATTTGGTCCCATTGATTTTAATGGGACTAAAACTGGATTTAAATAGAAGCACTTTGGTTTAACTGGGTTGTAGGTGATCATATGTACAGTTAACTTTATGTATCTGCCCACGCATTAAAATCTATATGCATTCCTAAGATGTAGAAACACACCGTATTTTCAGAGTTAATGCAGTTTTACATGAGAGCAGTTACAACTGTTGTGTTATTTGGCTGACTTGAGTGTAGTAGTGATTTATGCAATGAACATATCTGTCGTTGTAGAGTCTTTATTTTTAGGGGGGAAGCGAGTTAAATTAGAGGTTTTGTGGTTTGCCTTCGCTTTCATCCGGATCCAGTTTTACAAGGGCTGAAACTTTCAGTATGCAGGACGTGCCCCTTTGAACTGAACAGCCCACACTTGGCCCTGTTCGCATTTTCGCTTTCGCATTCCCGTTAAAGGCCTCTTTCTCCGCGCGGAATGGCAACGTAATTCTTGATGGCCTGTTGTAAGCTTTCAGTTCAAGCTGCCTCGAAACATATTCTCTTCCCCCTCCTAATACTGCTGATTTTTTTCCGAAAGTCTTAAGTTCTTGCAGTTTCCCATTCCACCTGCAAACTTTGTGCGATTGTGGTAGTTTCTGCGGCTGCTCTCTAAGGCTTCAATCCTATGGACATCTGCTTGGGCGTAAGCCCCATCGAACACAGTGGGACGTACTTCCGAATAAGCAAAAGCCCTTTGGATCGGGTTGCACAGACTCCCTGTCAACCAATGCGTTTGCATACTAAAGGCTGCCCTGTAAGGTATTTGTATCTCGATGGGTGTGCTGAAATAATTCCCCTTTTCGTGCAATACACTTGGTATACAGCTCATGGAACTTGAGTGGCTTCATGTTGGTATTTTCTGTCTGGATCTTGAGCAGACAGTATTTCCTGCAAGACTGTTATGTTCTCCAAAAAGGATACGACAGCCTGCTCAGTCTCTTTAAATATTAGTTTTACAAATATTCCTGCTTTTTTTGGCATATTGTCTAAAGCCACTGCAATGAATTGATTGTATATATTAACGGTCTATACAGTATTTGTTTCCTGCTTGGCAGGGGGTTGGACTCGATGGCCCTTGTGGTCTCTTCCAACTCTATGATTCTATGATTCTATGATTTGCTTTGGGAAGTTGCAGCGAGGTTTAGAAGAATTCAGAATGCAAGGCAATCCTATATACTCAGAAGTAAGTCTCACTGAGTTCAATTGGGCTTACTCCCAAGAATATTGGACTTTTTTTGTTTATTTATTTATTTATTTATTGTATGGTAGGTAGAAATGCCAAATATGTTTTAAGAATGATGAAAAAGCAAGTTCAAAGATACCATTTGTGTTTAACATTTTGAAGCATTGACCTCTTATAGCAGAAACAAGGTCTAGTAATATAATTTTGGTCTATAGCCTCTTTTTCTTTTTAAAAGAATCCTCCTTAAGAAATATTGCCAAAATATTTGGGAATAACATCTCTTTTATTGCACTAAAGCAAATGAGAACCACATTTATTTCACTCTCCCCACCAGAATATTAAATTCAAATTGGATATTATTGTCATTGGATTCGTATTTATGAATTTATATAACTTAGGTTTTGCAAACATACTTTTCTAAATCACTTTCCCAGCTGTTCAGACATTGAAACGTATATATATTCACAAAAGAGGAAACTTGCTATATGTACAAAACATATTGTACATATATTACTGTCATATATATTGATATATATATACTGTTATATATTACTAGCCCTGAATGCTTCCAAGTTCTAATGTTTAAAAGTTTGCTTGCCCTTCTCATGTACAGATGTATTATCTAAAGTTTCTTAATTATTCAACAAATCGATTAACCATCTGGTAGCAAAATTGTTCTTCTTCTAACTTGACATTCACAACTCTTTTACACCTATGTACAATTCCCTTAGGACTCAGGAATCAACTTTAAGGACTATATATTGCTTCGGTTCAAAGTTTTGATGCACGCATTCTAGATTTCATAATAAATGTGGGTTTTTTTATTTAATGCAGTCTTCAAAGATTTAAACACACAAAATGCAGTGAAATTGTCCACAATTTTGAGACCACAGTTGTAAATAGAAACATTCATATTTCATAAGTTTATAAATATTTGATACTGCGAATTGTAAATGCACATGTTTTATAAACTGAAAAACACCTTTGTTTTCTTGCTAAAAGGCAATGTCATTGATTTCTGTCTCCTAAGCAGCTGATAGTTATTCACAGAATTTTAAATTACAGCATTGGTTGTATACTTTCTTTTCTTTCTTTCCAAAGTTGATACTACTATGTACAATATGTGTCTACTATAATTGTGAAATAAAGAGAGTTTTTAAGGCAAAGCGAGAAGTTTAACCTCAACAATCAATAAGACTATAGTCCTGAATAATTGTACAGCATCCTCCCATGCGAGACCTCTGGCCAATATTTTGGAGACTTTTCCTTTCCCCAAGAAAAGGAGAAGGGTTGAAGTGTGGGAGAAAATTCTGAATAAAATACAAATAATTAGCTTCACTGTAACTCACATTAGAATCAGAAAATTTAAAAATGTTGGGCAAGGAAAGGGGGGCGATAAGAAATACACAAAAATCACTATGACTTTTATGAATTCTTCACAATTCTTCGTAATGTATGTGCTCAATTAAAAATCTCTCCCATTTTCGGGAATGAAAGGCAACTTTTTTCCAACATGGGCTAGTGATTATTTCCCCTTAAAAGAAAAGGCCAGTTTCTAACCAAGAGACTTTAGAGACAACCCTAACCCTCCTCCTTTTATATCCTCTTGCATAATAGAAGTCAGTTAAGCTGAAAAGGTGCCCTAACTCTCTCTCCACCCTCCCTCCTCTAGATTTGTTCTTTTCCTGAGCCAGGCTGGTTGCATGGAAAAGCCTTCCCTAGCCCAAAAGCTAGTGATGCAGACTCCTCACCCCAACTCTCTTATGTGCACAAACATATACACACACACTGGCTCCCCACCCCCACCAATGCCACAGGGGCCTGGTACATTTGTCCACAGCACTGCAAAGCTAAAGCGCAAGGCCATGCTGCTTTCTGAGCAGCACTTTAAAAAGAAGCAACGAGCAAGCGCCAAAGCAAAACAATGTAGGGAACTAGCAGATGGGAATGGGATGAGCTAATGGACACAACAGCAAGGCAAGCTCCGAAGCGTGTGGGGTTACCCTCCCTCTGGCTTCTCACACTGGGCAATGTCCATCCTAAAACTACAAAGAAAAGACCTTCTTCCCTTTTTACTTCCCAGGACACGGTCCCGGAAGTTACGAGGTTTTATTCTAAACTTTTCCCATCACACTCCTTAGGCGGGAATAATTACCGAATTAACATGTCCTTGATTGAAGTCGGCCACTATTTGTTTACCAACTTTTTCTGAGTCTCTAAATACTACCTCCCCTCACTCACACACACATCCTTTACTCCAGTCTAATGGAGAAATGAGGATAAATTCAAGAAACGTTCCTAAGGCTTAACATCATGTTTCAGTACTTCTTTTCCCCGATTTCTGAATGTGTTATTTGCAAACGGGCAGCATGTTTACATAGTTAGCTTATAATTTATATTGTGATAATTAAAGTTCTTCTATACCCATCCCAAAGGCAAACACAAGAGGAAGAAAAGAAAAAAAGAAACGTTAAAACTCATAGAACAAATAGGAGAACTATTTATTCGGTTCACAGCCTCGTGAAATGCAGCAATAAAAATCTTTGGACTTCAGCAAAAGTTGTCTTTAATATTTTGAATTTCAAAAAACAGTGTCCAATGTCCATTTAAAACAGTGCTTAAGTCTATAAAAAGGTAACTTAAGCTTTTAAAAAAATTGATAAAGTTAGCATCTAAAATTTCCATAGAACAAAAAGAAAATCAAAAAATATTTTATAATCAGATATTTTGGATATTTTTTTTACAACACCTTACCTGTAAATTATATATATACACAGAATATTGCAGAATTATATCTAATACACAATATTTCCCCACTATTTATGCTGGTATAGTTTTTTATACACTGGCCCTTATTTGTTTTTGTTTTTAATTAAATTATTGCATTGTATAAACTCTGACTCGCCCCTTCCCCCCCTCCCCTGGCTTACCCCCCCTCCCCTCATCTACTCGCTGTCTGACTTGCCGTCTTTCGAGGCCGTGGAGTGGTTGTACAGTCCTTGTGCCATGAGGTGAACCGCCAGGGAGTTCTTGTTGCCGGTGGCTTTCTTGATTTTGGCCCGCTTGTTCTGAAACCAGATCTTGATCTGAGACTCGTTGAGGCTGAGTTCTTGAGCCAGGCTTTGCCTCCTCTGCTCTGTCAAGTATCTGTTCGTCTGAAACTCCGCTTTGAGTCTTTGCAGCTGCTCCGCCGTGAACGCTGTCCGGGGACGTTTGTCCTCCTTGTTGGGGTTCTTCTTCTTTGGTTTGCGGGATCTGGGGCCTGCGGTCCGTGGCGAGAGAAGGAGACACAGAGAGCGAGAGAGGTTGAGTGGAGGGGCGCTTTGGAAGGGAGCCCAGAACGTGCCCTGGCTTGGAAGCTTAATTCAATTAGCAGCACCGGGCGAGGGAATTTGGGCGGGGAGGAGGGAGCGAGAGACGCAGAAAGAGAGTCTCAAATGTCCTTCGCTTTTCGAAGCTACGTGCCAGTTGGTTCCCTCTGCCCCTCAGGGACCAAGTTCAGCGCATGCCACCAATGCCCCTCTCGCTTTTTCTCCAAGCAGGGCCTTCCTTGTCAAATGGAAAGGGGCTGGATCGCCACCATCCCAAGGGTGTGTGCGAGGTGGGGTCCAAGAAGAGGGAGGGAGAGCCAAGGGGGAGAGGCGGACCCAGGCCAAGGACAAGGGGGCCTTTGCCTTACCCAGAGCAGTGCCCTCGCACCACCCCCCAAGTTCACTGCGTGTTTTTCTCCGGGGATGAGGGGGTGTGGAGAGATAAGCAAGCGCCAAGATGGCCAGGGAATGAGCTCCATTTCTGCGGGAGGCCTGCGTGGGGCTCCTTTTCTCTGCGGAGGAGGCGCGTTTCGGGGACCAGCTCCATGCAGCCTCTACCACCCTTTGTTACGGGTGGCTGTGCCCGCTCCCCCGGGGGCTTTGCGCACCCTCGCCTGACCTTCCTCGGGGCCGTTTTACCACGGCTGCTGCCCCCGGGGCTCCCGCGCGAACCCGGTTTGCGAGCGCGCAGACACATGGTCCGCACTGCTCCCCCGCCAACCGGGCTGCTGGGGGCGCGTCAGCCGGAGGGCAGAGCTCGCTTGCTCCCGCTTTCTCTCCCCAGCGACTAGGCCCGTCTCGGGCCGGGGCGACGCCGCAGCCTGGCCTAGGCCACAGCCTGGTTCTCGAGCTGGGTGCCAACCCACGATGGCGCTCTCCCTCCTCCGCTACTCACGTCCATGGAAGCCCCTCAACTCCCGGCTGTGGCAGGAGAATTCGGCCTGTCCGAGAGGCGCTTCTTGGCAGCGCCTTTGCGGCCTTCCCCAGTAATTACGAGGCTGGCGGATTGGGGTGGGGGAGGGGAAATCGCCTGAGAAAATGACTTGGAGATCCCGGGGCGACGGGGGAGGGAGGGAGGGGGGAGAGGGAAGTTTTCTCTCACGTTTTCAAAAGGTGAACCAAGCGGAGCTTCAAAAAGGAATGGTGAGAACAATCTTCCCAACAGCCTCTTCAAGATTGCCCCGTTTTTTCCTCCCTTAACCCCGGAATGCACTAAATGTAAACAACACAAACACAAATCCGCCCTACTTTCCTTGCCTTTGGAAAGTAATCAGAAAAATATTCGGGATTAAATTCTCCCCTAGACAGGAGCTTGCACAACTCTCATCCTTCTTGCCAGCTCCATACGTAAAATGGTAAACAGGCGCCTTTGCGACACTGAATGCATTTTCCCCTTCCTTAAAAACAGAAATATAATGCATTCATACAAAACTACAAATTAGAACTCTTCTTTTCCTCTAACAACATTGACCCCAACATTTTAGAGATACCCTTTTTCTTCTACAGTGCAATGCATATTAAAATTTAAACGTTAGTTTTAAACTAGATCGCCTTGCAATTTTGTATTCTCCAAATGTTACACTTAAGAATGGTAATTATTATGGTGGGAAATATTCTCCGTCGTATTATAAGCATCTTTCGACAGGGTTTAACTTACTCGGTGGTTTGGGCCATGGTGAGAATCTATGATAATTAAATATTAACAAAGAAAGGGACTGGAGAACAATGGAGTAAATTTCGAATCAGACGGGAATATTATCCGGCAGCGAAGGAGGTTGCTGTCTCTCTAACTCATTTTTAACACCTATGAATTTATTCGACGATAAAATATATTGGAAGCAAGGTGGAAAGTCCTTTCGGAAAAATAAAACAAAAATCGAGATCCAATTGTTTTAAAACAAGAAAATTCTATTGAGCGAATTTGCAATTCTCGTTCAGGAAGACTAAAACACCCTCAAGTGTCCCTGACGATAAAGGGCATTCCAGGCTCTCGGCGGCTCCTCGTCCCGGCTCTCTCTTCCCGAGGCAGGGCTGGAGAGATCCCCACTTCGCTCCCACCCGTGCAAGCAAGGAAGTCTTCCTTTTCAGCGGCTCTGCAATAACTTCCAGGGCCTTTTCGAGCGCGGCTGCTCCGCACGAGAAGCCAGGGAGAAAAGAAAAATACTTCCAAGGCCTGCTTATTTCTAGAGGCCGGAGAAGACAACTTCACAGGTCGGGCCTTGGCGACCAGCAGCTGAGCTAGCCAAAGAAGGGGGCAGAATAGGACGCCTCCAAGGATTGCTACTGACTTCTTTTCCATCTTATCTTCTTGGTAAACGGAGAGAAGGGGGAATGAAAACAAACCCCACCTTGCAAACAGCCTCCTGGGCTTCAGATCCCGGCTATTTCTCCCAGCTGCCAAGAAGGAAATCGCTTTGTGTGCGGCTCGAGCCTTCGGCTCTTTCTCCCCGCGCCCTCCTGGAGTTTCGTCCTCACTGTATCAAAATCCCTCCTACGCCTGTCGCTGCCTCCCCATGTTTGTTTCAAAGCAGATAACTTTGTAAAACTGTCTTATTTTGCAAAGGGTGATTGCAACCCGCCGCCCCCTTTCGCCGCGATCGCCTTGCAGCCAAGTCGCCAGCTCTTTCGCTCGCGGGCGGGAGGTGGGTGGAGGGTCCAGAGACCCTCTTCTCGAGAGGCCAGCGACCTGGTCCAGAGCTGTTTGCTTACCTGACGAAGGCCTGTCCGAATAGCGGGTGCAGTAGACCCAGGCTGGCCACAGCATGGGCTGCGCGCTGGGGAAGGAGCTGGCCTGGGAGCTGTCCGAGTCGGAGCTCAGCGACTGATCGCCGCCGCCGCCGCCACCGCCGCTGCTGCCACTGCCGCGGGACTTCAAGGCTCCGTCGAGCGCGCCAGAGTCGCCGCCTTTCTTAGCCGGGGCTAGAGCTTTGGAGCCGCCGCCGCCTCCTCCTCCGTCGGTCGGGGAACCGGAGGCTGGCGCCGCTGAGGGGCTCCGAGCGGTCAGGAGCTGCTGTTGCTGCTGCTGCTGCTGCTGCTCCGGGTTAACGCTGCTGCCGCCGCCACCGCCGCAGGTACCGCCGTCTTTCCTCCGGCCGAACTCCGGCCGCAGGATGTTGTCGATGAAAAAGTTCGTGATTCGGTGCGGCGGGTGCTGGTGCGGATGGTTGCCGGGCTCCTGGAGCACCCGGGGCAGGAGCATCGCCCTCCGCCGGTTGGGCTCCCCGTCGCTGCCGCTGCTGGACTCCTCCGGCGGCGGCGGCTGTGGCGGCTGTTCGGCGCCTCCTTCAGCGCCCGGGCGCTGCTCGTTCTCCTCCATGCTGAACACGGAGTCCCCAAATGTTGTTGCCCTCCCGCTTTTGTCTGCGCGCGCTTCGGGGCTGCTCGGTTTGGGTTACCCCCCTCCACACCCCCTTCCGCCTGGGTCCGCGGAGCAATCCAAATCCAGACTTTGCAAAGCGAGCCAGATATAACTGAAAATATTTTATAGATATATATGTTGCCGCCGCTTCTCCTTCTCCCTTCTGCTGCTGTAGTTGGTTCCTCCTTCTGCCCCCTTCCAGCCTTTCAGTTCTGCAGCCCCCTCCTGCTTTCTTTGCCCCGCAATGTATTCATCATTAGGACTTTCATCCGCCACCCCCGCCCCCACTCTTGTCCGGCTTCCGAGGGTGGAGAAGAGACTGGCGGCAACCTGACAAAAAAATGGTGACGATCCTTCCACGGGGGAAAAGTCAATGGAGCCCCCTCTGCTGAGCTGGAGAAAGTGCCTTCCTCCTCTCTACAGCGCACAAGGCAAGCGCAGGCTTGAGACACACAGAGGCATCTGGACAATCACAGCCGATCTCTGGCTTCCTCCCTGCCTTTGAGCCAAATATTCCAAGTTGCACAGGAGGAGATGAGAGGGGAATCTCTCTCTCTTGCTCTTCCGGACTCGCTTTCCCTGGCTACCTATAGTGGGGGTGTAAATTTAGAAGCCACTTAAACTGAACCTGAAATACTTTCACTCTGGATTTTTGTTCTTATTTTTAATAGAGCTCCTCAAGTGACGTTGCAAGGCCGGTATCCTAGACACGTGCCTTTGGCCAATGACAGAAGAGCCTTTTGCACACGTGATACAGTAGCACTCTAGTAAATGACAGGAACAGCCCCCCTCCTCCCGTTTCCCAATGCCCCCACCTCCCGATTTTAAAGCTGCAGCGTCCTCTGCTTCTCAAGAGCCTTTTTTAATATATATAAAAAAGAAGGAATGCAGGAATACCTTCGTCTTCTAAACAAGGGATAGATTCATCACCCCTTGTCTTGCTAATCTGTTTCCTTTTATATCTTCGCCTGAAGAAGGGCTCCAGTACACACTGGTGGGGGTGGGGGGGGGTTCTATATTGTTTACAATTGGAGTTGGGAGGGGGAAGGAGAAGAAGACAGAATGAGCGGGGGCGAAATCCCACAATTCCTTGCAAAATGCATAAATAATATTAAATGAACCAGAGCGATACAAAGGGACTTTTTGTGTTACCGATTTATTTTTTTGGGGGGGGGGGGAGCGAGAGGAAGAATCAGAGGCAGTTAATTTTAAAGCAGACTCTCTCTTTCGCCGTCTTTTTGTCTTACTATTTCTCTGCGCGCGCGCGCGCACGCACACCAACCAGTCCCAGCCCCCTCTTTTGTAATCCCGGAGCCTCGCCTGCAGGAAAAGACGGGCAAATATCGGGGGTTTCTGTTGGGGGGGGGGCTTTTTAAATGCCAGACTGCACTGGGGCTGCTATTATTGGTAACTGCAGTGCAATAAACATAAGACGGTATGATAATTGATTCATTCAGCTGAAAACTGGACAGGAGCCTTTGATCATTTATTCCAGCTTCAAAAACAATATTAAACAGAGAGGTTTCCCATTGACAGGCAGGAGGACGTGAGAGTCCCCCTTCCCCCAAGCAGCTCTAATCAAAATAATCAAGCGATAGGGGTATTCACACACTAACACACACACACACGGAATAGATACAGCCCTCCCATTTTTAATCTTTTTTAAAAAATCTAAATAATAAGAACTCTAAATGTTGCATTAAGGTCTGTCTGGAGTCTGCAAGGAGTGCTCCTCACCGGAGTTGCAAAGAAGGCCCCCTCCACGGGGCCAGCCCTTTCCTTGAGCGTCTCCTCCTTCGGCCTGCGAAGGATTTTTTCCTCCCCAAACCTCCCGCTAAACACTCTGCCTGCAGACAGAACCAAAATAACCATCTCTTCCATGCCATCCGCGGGATCTTTGCTTGGCTGCTCTTGAATTTGTGAAAGTCACCCAAAGGTCACTGAAACGCTGGAGGGTGAGTGCAGCTTTAAACACACACCATAAACCAGCCGAGGAGGAGAAAGCGATGGTGATGATGGTGATGAGAACAACAACCTTAAGAAAGCAAAAGAAAAGCTTTTGTCAAAAAACTCTGACGATGGGGGAGGGGCTGGAGAGTGACGGCACATGATCCAGTCAGCGCCAAAGACAAAAATGAAGCCAAAACATCCACGGCGGCGTCCAGGCAGCTGCTCCTGCCCCTTTTTAAGATTTCCAAGGCAGACGTTGCCCACCCTGAGGCGGGCCACTCAGCGCTTTTCGCCTTCTCTCTCGGAGGCCAGTTGCAAGTGCGGGGAACCCTAGAGGTTGGGTGGAAAGAAGGGAAAGCAGGGTTAGGCAAAGCCGGGACAGAAAACCTGGGAAGGGGTGGGAGAGAGCAAGACGCGAGGATCGGGAGGCCAGCGGCCCCGAGGGCAAGGAGCTGGCGGCGGCGGGGTAGGTGGGTGGAAGGCTGGGTCCCTAACTCCCCTCTCGCTGAGTCTCCACCGGTCTTGCCCTGGTGGTAGGCTTCGGACTTCTTTTTTCTTTGGGGCGTCCTGTGGAGGTGATTAATCCTGGAATTGCTTTAGATTAAAAGGGAGCAAAAATTGGGGGTAGCAAATCAAGCAGACCTTTCGGAAGTCTCAGCTGAAGACAAGAAGATAAAAAGCCTCACAAACATATACTAACGTACTACATCGGTCTCATCGAGTATTTATCCGTGCTGTTTAGTGTTGTCTGCGGGTCTGTTTGCTTGCTTTTTAAAAAAAAACATTTTAGCATTGGTAATGCTGGACTATTTTTAGCGCTCGACAGCTGGACTCAACTGGGGAATGCAAAATACTTGGGGGGGGGGTTTAAGACACAAGTCATTTCAGCAAACTGCGTTGCTCAATGCAGTATTGTGAATTTTAAAATAAATAGGTTGCTTAAATTGGGCGAGCACGTCAAGTCCCCACACGCTGGTAATTGGAAGTGAGCCCCGTTTAAATAAACAATAGTAGCCTCCAAATTTTTGAACATTTTGGAGTTAGCGGAAAGTAATCTGGAAGATTTTATCTTTCTGTAACTCAGAGTCTCATTTCTACGACTTTGTTTAACTGTTGCTTTTGCGTGATCCAAAATGTGATACTGATTTCTGTTTGAATTTTTGCCCCCACCACAATTTTTAAAATCCTGTATAATTTACAGTATCTGGGCACACAAAGAGATCAAGTATCCCTGATCTAAAGGGTTTGTGCTCTAACAAGCACCTTGAGGTTAATTTCTTTAAGAGCCCCATGGAAAGCGATTAGGCTGTCTCCCAAGAAGTATTTTCTAATTACTGGGAAGACCTGGCTTTCCTCGTACCCAATAATTAAACGTGTCCAAGGTGTTGCACTTCAAATATTTCCCTTCAGGGCGGACCCCAAGTTATTGACTTGAGCTTAAAATATCTTGAAGTAAACATTAGCTGCCCAACGTATCAAGTAACACTTCTTGTCACTTAGCGCTGACCACACTTTAACATTTCTATTTGCTAAAATTACCTCGAGGTACTAAATACTCGACTACAGGCGAAGAATTCCTTCGGTAAAGTCCAAGGCAGATGATTAACAAAGGCTGTACACAAAACAATTATTGCAATGGACTCTTCGTTTGGCTTAAATCCCAGTTTTATTTCCCTCCCCCGCAAAAAGACAGCAACGATAGGGAATTCTGGGAGAAAGAATGGGGTGGTAGTGGGGAGTCTTGGAAAAATTAGTCGAGCCTATTTTCCAAAATACCTAAACATTATATCTATTTTATTCTTAAAAGCTCTGTGCAACAAGTTTTGTTTCAAAATGAAGTAATAATATAATATAATATAATATAAAGTGTTGAAGATGTTTATAATTGTAAATTGTCATAAGAAGAGACCAGGAAATTTGTTTTGAGAAGTTGGAGCTGTTCCAGTTTCTACTATCGAAAGAGAAGATAAGGTGATTGTGACGCAAATCTTCATCTGGAGATTTTTAATACGTGTATTTCCTGTCCAGTAAATACGTTGATGTCAATTTGTGTTGAGCACACCGTCACCTTTTTAGACTAATCCACAACCCACTTAAACCGGAATATCTGGCTTTAAAACCATTTACTCTTCTACCCTAACCGTATTTCTCGGAAATACACTTCAATGGAGTCAATGGGATTGAGGTCCTTCCGGTCAATATATTTCGAATTGGAGCCTAATCCAAATACAGGCATCAACTGGCGTCGAGGTCTGCAGCCTTTACCAACGCAGTTTCTTTTACTAGGGAACTTATATGAGCCACACCCAACATATCAATCAGGAACTAGTTGGGCCGGGACAGTTTGTTTTTACTTTCGCTAGCACACATTCCTTGCAGAGAAAGTCGTTCTTAGTTTGACTGTTGAGGCTTCACTGGCCCTGCAGTTGCCTTACAGTGGGCGTATCAGTAGCGGCCTGCCAGGCGTTGCTTACCTGGCTTCCCAATTCTGCCTCAGGTCGCTGCCGGTCACCAAGAAAGAAAGGGAACCCCGCTGCCTTGCCCCTCCCCCTCTCGGTAACCGGCAGGGACCTGCGGAAGAGTTGAGAAGCCAGGTGAACAACACTTCCCTCCCTGCCAGGACTGCCCCACCGGTGGAAGAAGGAAGAGGAGACCCACGGGTATCGCAGACTGTCCTGCAGTTCTGTGGGAAACGCTGGACTGTCATCCTACAGGCGGGCTAAAGCGAGACGATTTGTATCGTGACTCCGCTAACCTTGTCTCTAACAGCTTGTACTGGCTGATGTGGTGAAAGTTACAAGTAATGAAAGCAATCAGACAGATCAGACTTTCTCTGGGCTCGTCTGTGGCAGCGTCAGAGGAGATGCCCTGATCCTTCTGAAAGCTAATTCATAAAAGGGTTTTTTGGGAGTGGGGTTGAGGAGAGAATAAAGGCAAGGCTTAGCAGAATCTGCAGAGATCTGCCTTGTAGCCTGGGACCTTTAGGGTCCAACATTCAGGAGGGGAAA